TTTTTTTTTTCCAGTGGCCTTAATCCTCCTTCGCACAGCTCTGTGAAAGTAAAGACCCTGATGTATTCTTCTCCTGACCATGCACCTGTCTCCTACAATTTAACACACACACGTCAGCTGCGACATCAAAAGCACACCGGCGTCAGTATGGAAATCCGGATTTATCTTGGTGATGTCTTCTAACAACTACAGTTTACGACATGGGTTTAATCCGTCACATCTGAACTAAAGCAGCAGCAATCGAATCTCTGCTTTCAAATAACTTAACTGAAAGATCGTAGAAGCACGTAGGATCGGGAATCAAACCGAGGTTAAAGCGGATAATCTCCGAGCATCACATCAAACGAAAGCAACGAGCATCCATGTTGGTTAGAGGGGTGTTTAGCTAGTTCATATCCTTGTCTACATTAAGCACTTTGCTCGCTAACTAATCCAAGGGCAGCAAAGCTGGCTAATGTTAGCCCACTCAGCTAACTATGCGCGTTTCTTACCTTTTATTTCTCCAACTGGGGTAATGTTTCTGTCGCTGTCTTTTCCCCTTCTATAGCCAACTTGAAGTGTTATAGTTCTTGCATCTCAGTTTTCCTTTTGCTTTCCGCCGCTAAAGCATTCAGGAACATGAAGCTGCAGAAAGTAGCGCCAAGCTAACGGCTACACCGGGTGGGAATGATCTGTCAGTCCAAGACAGCAATCCCTTGCAAACCTCCTCCCACTCTATGTCTGCGCGCTCACGATCTCACAGTAGGCGCGCGCACGAGCGAACAGGAAGTTTTACTCACTACGACGCTACGTCACTAGCGTAACGGTCGGACGCTGTGGAGAGAAAAGTTGTCGGTGTTTTTTGAAGATTAAGTCGAATACATTAAAACGTGAGTCTAAAACTTTTATCCCCTTTTTGTTTTAGAAAATATATCAATACAGTTGTTTTGTCACGTCAATTGATTTTATTTTAGTTTGTAAGACTTCGGCCTTCAGCGGTTGATCTATTTAGCCTTGTCATGGGCTAACGTTAGCATGGACCACAACCAAAACTCAACAAAGCTAATCATAGCTACGTAGCTAAACGGCTACGGTTTAAACAAATAAAATCCCTACGAAATGAAAGCGAAGTGTAAAAATTAAAATTTTACCTTTCAGGGTAGGGAAGAAGATAAAACTGGAAACGTGTCACCAGTAGCCTTGCAAAGCTTACTTTTACAGCTTGTTCTCCTTTGTTCCAGGTTGAGAAAGTTCCTGTTCGTTAATAAAAAGTAAAGTTGCCCCTTTTTTTGTTAAAAACAGTCGATAATATCGATGTAAAGTGCCAAAGCCCGTACGTTTTTTTTTTGTTTTGTTTTTTAATGAAATGATCCTGTCAAAGTCACCAGTCTTCCAGAACAGCAGAATCCAGCATGACTACATGTAGCTTCAAACTATTTGGTTGCACTTTAATAACTCTGCATATAAATAACATGGACATTTTTTTTTACTCTATATATTATTGGTTCATTTCAACTTGACGGGAACAACCCAAAACAAAGGGTATAATTTTGTGGTTTTAAATGTTATTATGTTTTTTAGGGTACCTATATAACCAGAAACCATAGGCAGTGCATAGATTAAAAAAAATATTACTAGTAAATTACTTTTTTCTTTTATTTTAACAGTATGAAGGGAAAAAAAAAACATTTGCAGGTTTGACAAATGTGTTTTTGGATTGATTCAATCTTTTCTTTAAGAGGACATATTTTGCAAAATCAATTATTTTAATCCTACAATACATTTGTCACTTTGGCATCTTTAGGGCGGCAGAAAAGTTGAAGTTAGTCTGCATATGCTGTGGAGATGTTTATAGATTTATATTCCCTTTGGTTCACACATTTCAACCCATTCCTTTTTTTAAATGTTATTTATCACAATTGCATTTTTTTAACAATAAGGTAAACAGGGCCATGGAAATCTGGCTAACTGATTTTTGCAAATCAGTTATATTTATTTCTTGTAGTTGGACGTATTAACACGCACAATGTGTTACTCTTCTGTATAATACCCCTTGATAACATAATTCATGTACGTGGTTAATTTTTTTTTTTCCTTTTAAGTAGTTGCCATATCAGGATTATTACTTTTGGCTATTGCATAAAAAAGAAATGTATGTATATAATATATTGCAAATTTGTGACATCGGTTATAATGATCAATGTAACGAACACTGTCATGGGCCACTTATATCCGAAGCAAATCCTCAACAAAGGTTTTTAGGTCTGCACAATTGAGGGAATAAAAACGCTAGCTTGCGAATGCTTTGTTGCTGTGCAGCTACGGTAACCTTGATTAGCCAGCCAGACTGACTTACTGTACACAGGGTGTAGCTGGGCCCATAATGCAACAGCACTTTTCTGTAACCCTAACAGTCAAGATTGCAGCTGCAACAGAGCAAGGTTTTCATGATGCCCTTCATTGTGTTCCCAAAATAGCTGTTTATATGGTTAAAATGTAGACAACTGGCTGATGTATGAAAAAATGTTTTTGTGTCACATCTGTCATTGCCAAACGATTTAGCCAAAAATCAAGTTGCGATTAATTTTAACAAATATTAAGATTTTATTTCGACTTTCCTTTGCCCTAACCCCAAGCTTGTAGGTGTTTCACTTAAGGCTTTCAGTTTTTGAAAGCTTGCTTGCCCAAACCTACTTCAAGCGTTTGAAAGGGCTGGAGGGAGAAATGTTATATCTGACCTGTTAAATATAGTTCGATTTGAATTATTTTTTTTATCAAATTGCGATTACATTGCAAATGCAATGAATTGCCTGGCCCTAATATAGACTACTAGATCGCAACTGAATGATCTAATTGGGAAAAGGACATATTTTAAAGCATGATTTTTAAAGTAGCACAATTAGAATCACATTGAAATAGTCTTTTGAAACTTTGAAGTTGTTGAAATCTTTTGAAACTGTTACACATTTGAATTAAGTTTTATATGAGGTCAAATAAAAAATAAGCCAATGATATTTGGATGGCAAGTCATCCTTACTACCACATTCAATCCCCTAAAGCAAGTGAAATCTGCTATAATATAGGAAAATATTAAAGGAATAGTACACCCAAAACATGATTAGCCTTCATTTTCTACTCACCCCCATGCTGAACAACACCCTGGAGTACTTTTTTGATATCTCAAATGCATCTGGAGATCTGGGAGGCTTCTTGCTGTCTGCTGACATTCAAATAATGGAGGTCTATGGTGCCCGAGACAGAAAGGTCCATAAAAGTCCACAAAAAACGTGTCAATATTCCTCCATACTGCTCGTCCAATGTATTCCAAGTGTCCTGAGTGGGTAGCGTCCATAATTTACTCGAAACGAAGTCATTTAGAATGTTTTTAGAGCATAAACAGTAGTGTATAGGATTTCCTGAAAGCGCGCACATGCGCGTTCACGACGCTACGGAAGCCGGCAGACCAAACCAGATGAAAGTGCGCATTCAGCGTCTGCTCTGCCGATAATGCAAGCGTAGAAGAAGAAATGTGCTGTTTACCTGTGCAAAGAAAGAAACAACGAAAGAAAAATGTCTGAGGACTTCAGTGTTGAGGAAGAGCATGAGTTCTTTGCCGAGCTGAATGCGCTGGTTTGGTCTGCCGGCTTCCGTAGCGTCATGAACGCGCAGGTGCGCGCTTTCAGGAAATCCTATACACTACTGTTTATGCTCTAAAAACATTCTAAATGACTTCGTTTCGAGTAAATTCTGGATGCTACCCACTCAGGACACTTGGAATACATTGGACGAGCAGTATGGAGGAATATTGACACGTTTTTTGTGGACTTTTATGGACCTTTCTGCCTCGGGCACCATAGACCTCCATTATTTGAATGTCAGCAGACAGCAAGAAGCCTCCCAGATCTCCAGATGCATTTGAGATGTCAAAAAAGTACTCCAGGGTGTTGTTCAGCATGGCGGTGAGTAGAAAATGAAGGCTAATCATGTTTTGGGTGTACTATTCCTTTAAGGATGTCTGGATCTGATACTGATATGAGCAATTGTTTTGATATCACTCAGAAAAATACACCAGAATATATCACCCTGCATCTAAAATCTCCAATTATTATTAACATGCTGAATGAAACACTCTACTTCTGTTTAAAAGTTATGTAACTCATTGGACAATAATGATGTGTCCATTGTCTATCTGTTATTGTTGACTATTGTTTAAGTGATATCACTTCTAACTTTCCACAATACATAATAAGTGAAGATATGCATGTTTGATGCAATTATTATGTCAGGATAGTATCAGTATCAGTCAGTATTTAAAGATGCATTAGGGTATCGGAAATTCAATAGTTGTATTGTGACAAACCTAATATAAAAAAAGTAATATAGTGTCCCATTTCCCCCTGATGTCTGAATATTTTCTCATTAAGATAATAGAATACCACTGATATTTGGTCCGTGTGATGCTGATTGTGTTCGACTGTAATAGAAAGACAACCAATTCAATGAGACAGTCGGGAGGATAGCAGTTATCACTGCCTGAGTTATCCTGTTGTTTAAAGTTTATTAACTATTTATTCCTTGTTAATACGTCAATTAGGAAGCAAGTGTAGAAATAGGATTTCCTCTTTATGATAAAACTGATAATCAAAATAGTTTTGATCAGTAGTAAAATCCCCATCATCTAACATAGGCATGTTCATGTACTGCATTTATTTCACCCAAAGAGAACGAGGCTGAATCATCTTAATGAATGTTTATAGTGAGCTATTATTTTTTATTGTTTTGAGAATTTGATTAACTGTACAGTTGACAAATGACCCTGCCAGCTTAAAAAAAACCCAAAACAAAACAAAAAAACTCTTAAGATGGCTACTTATAAAAATTGGGTGACCTCATCAGAATGACATTATTTATTTTTCATCAGTTTAGGAGGATTCTAAAGATGTCTTCAGGGGCTCTGTTTCCGAGTTTGGTCAGCGGCTCGAGGGGAAGCTCCAGCAAATACCTGGTGGAGTTCCGTGCCGGAAAAATGACCTTGAAAGGGAACACAGTTACACCCGACAAACGCAAGGGTTTGGTTTACATCCAGCAGTCTGATGACTCCCTGATCCACTTCTGCTGGAAGGATAGAACCACAGGCAATGTTGATGATGTAAGTAAAGATTACTGTTTTTAAATTAGACTGTGATCACAAAAAATATATACAGGCAAATAGGGCAAGATGTTAAATGTATTGCTTTTTATGTGATCTAACTTTTGATGTTAATCTTAAACAGTGAACCACAAGCAAATATCATTTTCTCTACCTCTGCTCATTTTTATAATTACCCCTTATAAAGCATTGTTGCTAGCAATGCAATATTTTTCTAAATTATACCAAAAATATCTTCTCATCTTGTTGATACTGGAGATTTTCTGATATTTTCCGCACTCTTAGTGCAGACATCCTGACTTTTCATGATTACGTTTTCTTGTCCCTATAAATGTTGGCAAACGTTATTTCTAATACAACCTTAACTTTGATCCATTTTGTTTTTGGTAGAAGACAAATATCCATGTAAAGCCTCTTACCCACTAAAATTGGAAGGTTAACATGGGTTTTTCAAACACGGGTCGACCTGCTAACTATCAGCATTTGGCTCCCTTCCCATTGACAAAAAAAAATGCAGGCTCTGACCCGCCGCAGGCGAGCTGCGTGGCCTCTTTCCCCCCCCACTGCTGCGAATCTGGTGACGCCATCATGCTGGGTTAGCGTTGATGATGTCACCAGTGCAACCAACTGAAATCAGAAATTTTAACAACAGAGAGCAACATGGAAGTCACTCTGCGTGTAGGAAGTGTTTCCTATTGTTTCGATCTTTTGTCCCTTCAATTCTCTCACCAGTGCTGCGCAATATTCATCCAATGTAATTAGCAAGTCAACCCCAGTCAGATTTTTTCACTGTATGCTGCCCTTATAGCTAACATCTAGATATCAACTATATTTAAATATTCACTTGATACTTACATATTTACTACTATATTTATATATCCACTCTATCTTCTGACCTAAGCTAAATATGAGGTTAATTAGTCAAATAATTTGTGAGGTTTTCTTCACCATAAGTAAATTGGAAGTTAAAAGTGAATGTCCTGTCTTCTTCTAGGACCTGATCATCTTTCCGGATGACTGTGAGTTTAAGCGGGTGAACCAGTGCACCACGGGACGTGTCTATGTGTTGAAGTTCAAGGCCGGATCCAAAAGACTCTTCTTCTGGATGCAGGTTAGACAATGATGCTGATCAACTGACTAGAAAACTAAGATCCGATCCGCGGAAGAACCAGTTGTACTTTTTTCATTTTTAGTTATTTGTGTCTGTAAAGAGATCTACCACTTTTTTTAGCATGATTTTTTTGTCATGAGGCCGAGCCAGTTACTGAGGCATGGGTCACTTTTAAGAAATTCTGTTTTGTGAGATTAACTTTTAAAATGGTCAATTTAGGAGCCTAAAACGGACAAAGATGAGGAGTTCTGCCGTAAAGTGAACGAGTATCTGAACAACCCCCCAATTCCTGGAGCGTCTGGCAGTGGTGGTGGCAGCGGCCATGAGCTGTCCGCACTGGGCGGAGAGGGAGGCCTCCAGAACCTGCTGGGAAATATGAGCCACAACCAGTTGATGCAGCTGATCGGTCCAACAGGCCTTGGTGGACTGGGTGAGTAACTCTTCATATATTCTTCCAAATATGAAAAATCTAATTTGCTTAAGACTAGATTAGGTTTTATTGTTAGCTTTTTTTTTCCCATTAAATTAAAGTTTATGCAAATATTAAAAACCAGGATCAGTTTGGCTTTCCAAAAGAAAAAAAAAAAAATGTGTTTTTTTTTCAGATACATTGTCCAAAGAGACTTTGTGATTTGAATCTGGGTTAATAAACCCAGGCACAGACGTCAGGCAGGCAGAACTTGCATGCATGACTCGAAAGTAGGAACGTCCCGATCCAATATCATATTGGATAACGTTTCGATATTTACCAAAAAATAAAAATCGGGTTTCGTCAACTGGCATCTAAAATCTTATCTTATTGTTGGTTATTTAACTTATTTTGTAAGTTACTGGACCCAATGTCCACAGGTGGGGGTTGTATTCAGCCCAATAACATGCAGAATGCTTGGCATTTGCCAGAGAACATCAGGATTCGCAAATTAGCCACTGGCGCCCTGTGGTCTTCACAGATGAAAGCAGGATCATCTTTCTACAGAACAAAGTATTCTATTTGAAAGTTTCGTGTTTTTTGAGTGTTCCCTTTTTTTTAGCGGTATTTTGTCAGCCTCAGGGTAAAGTTGAGCTGCTTTTTTTGATCAGTTTAGGCAGTTTTTATAGATCTGTTTTTGTTTGTCTAAGGAGGCCTGGGAGCGTTAGCAGGACCAGGGCTTGCAAACCTTCTGGGCAGTGGGGGTCCACCCACTAGCAGCTCCTCATCCAGGTAAGATTCTCCAAACTTAAAGACTTGTGTAATCTGAAGCAGATATCAGGTTTTATGCTGCTTCAACTCTATCCTCTGGTTCCTTCCACCTCTCTGCTAATTTCAGTTCTCGGAGCCAAGCTGCAGCAGCAGCAGCCTCCTCTTCATCAGCTGCAGCCCCGAGACTCAGTTCTACCCAAACTCCAAGCACCCCGACACCTCCTGCTGCGACCGCTCCCTCCACTACTGCTGCCCCCGCTACCCCCTCCACACCAGGTATAATGCTCCCAGACATCCTATTGGATCTGCTAATGGCTTCATGTTTTCTAATGAACCTGAATCCAACCTTTACACTAAAGAAAGACTGAATATCTCATCTCATGCCTGTTGAGTTTCTGTGTTGCCATTTAATCACGAGTTCCCCCTCTTTCTCATTTGCAGCTCCAGCTCAGACACCTGTGGCTCCAGCCTCTGTGGGAAGCCCTCCCCCTCATCAGCACATCCAGCTCAGTGACCTTCAGAGCATCCTGGCCAACATGAATGTTCCAGCAGCTGCTGCTGCTCAGGGTCCTGCAGGTCAGTAGCTAATTTCCTACTTCATGGTTCATTCTGTGGATGAGAGAAGAAGCTGGAAGTTTCTGTCTAGTGTGAAGAGAAAGCATTCAAGACTGACTGATGTTTGGAGCAATTGTTGCAATATTAACATCCTGACATTATTTCTTATTATTCCGCCCTTAATGACAAAGTTATAGAAAAGAGGCTCCAGCTGTGACTCACCACAGCATAGAAGCTAAAGGGTTTTGTTGTTTTTTTTTTTAGTGGACCTAGCAAGTGTTTGCACCCCAGAGATGATGGCTCCCATCCTGACCAACGCTGAAGTCCAGCAGAGGCTCCTCCCCTTCCTTCCCAGTGGAGAAAGCTTACCACAGAGTGCTGAGGAGATCCAGAACACTCTTAACTCACCTCAATTCCAGCAGGTAGAACAAGATCAAAACACAGACCTTTAGAAACGTCTTTATGTTCTTTAAACTTTTACATTTTTACATTTTCCACTTTTCTTTGAAGCAGTTTAAGGCTAAAACAGGTATTTGAAATGAGTCGACTAACTGTCACCTCTTTCTTTCTTTCTTGTAGTCCATGAGTATGTTCAGCAGTGCCTTGGCTTCCGGACAGCTCGGCCCACTCATGAGTCAGTTTGGTCTGTCAGCTGAAGCTGTGGATGCCGCCAACAGGGGAGGTAGGACAAACACACACCTTACATCCTTACATTTTTTTTTCCTACTTGCTTTGATTCTGTTTTATCTTCCTGTATTTTAATCATGTAAAGCACTTTGCATTGTCTTTGTACTGAATTGTGCTATACAAATAAATTAGCCTTGCCTTGCCATTGAGTCATCTATCTTGGACTCTGTCCATAGAGCTATCTGTCAGTGAAGAAAAATGAGAATCACTGGGAGGGCTGCTAAATAAACGCTAGGTAGCTAGAAATATTTGCTTACCTGCCTTCACTCACATGAACTAAAGTCAAATCCCATTCAATTATTAGGCGGGGTGAACGACAGCCATTGGCAGTATCTACTAAAGAGTAGCAACTCAGTGGCAAAGTCATTCTGTGTATATGAATCAATTTCCTGAGGAAAGCGTGTCTGCAGGAAGCTTTTTACCATCTGCCAGCCTGAGGTGCTCTGAACTAAAGTTTATTAAGCCCAAAGAACAGAAATAAAATGCAGACTCCCAATGCTACTCTTAGAAGCCACCACAAGATCAAGGACTGAATTTTCTCAGTAAATCTCCAATAATTTTCAGATAATGTCAGTTTGTTGCACTTTTACATAAAATCACTCAGGGTAGCCCCCTTTTTTCACTACTTTTTTTTTTTTTTTTCTTTACTACGGGCATCGCTGCGTCATCATTTATCAGATTATCCTTTTTGAACAGGATGGCTTTTTATTAACGCATGAATCCACGTCTTCAAAACTGCTATTTTTCTTTTCCTTTGGTCTTAACACATTTTCTCTCCCTTCCTCAGATGTAGAAGCGTTTGCCAGAGCCATGCAGGGCAGCAAAGGAGACTCCAAAGAGAAGAAAGAGGACGACGAAGACATGAGTCTGGATTAGAGACGAGCCAGCCAAGTCCCACACTCTTCTGTGCTTCCGTTTACCTCTCTTTATATCAGCATTGTCTTCAACCATTTTCTACACCAAAGGCAATGTTTCTACTCAGGAGAAATGAAATATTAGCTAGGGTTTACTTTGACCACCTAGTAGACTTTTCTGTGTTTGAATTTCTCCTCTGTTCCATTTCTTTTAAACTGTTCTGGGACTAAGCCTTGTTTTCTTTTTGTTCTTAAAGTAAAGACTGTCTGTGTGATGTCAGTTTTTTGGGGACTAACTAATAAAAATAAAGGATAAAAACACTCAAGTGTACATTTGATATGAAAACAGAATTTATTTAAACAGGGCTGGGAGTGAGTGGGTTGGCAGCTTATTCTTTGAGACATTTTTAAAAATATGAACATGCTTACTTTTTTTGTTTGTTACAAAAAATAAAGACATTTGTAAGAAAAAAACAAAACAAAAATGAACAGGATTAGTGTAGATCATAAGGAAAAGTTGGTTAAAGAGGGAACAGGTGGTGTCCATGCAGAACTGAGGTTATTTATGGTCAAACTTAGTAGGTTGCAATTTAATAACTAATTTACTGCAAAATTTGTGGTATTTCAAGAATTTGAAATATGTTAACCTATCAGAAACAAATATGGATTTAGCCCATATGTGGCTAAAAAGAAATAGGATCTGCTCATGACATTTCAGGACGTTTTCCATTAGGTTTACTGAAAGCTAACAATAGAAGGCTTTTAAAGGTCAATTTAAAGAAAACACTTGTTTTTTTTTGTTTTTTAACGCATGCTTTACCTCCATTTCCATCAATAAAACCAACTTATGAGGCCTGATCCTGTTCTAGGTATAAAGTATCACAGTGTGCACACATGGATTAACTCGTAGGCATGTCAGTTTCATCAATATACAGCAGAATCAGGAACATAGTTTGGGAAAAAGTTTAGCTTTTTTTGTTTTACATGTTTAATTTTAAAGTTAATCAGTGCATAGCTATGTGAAACCAATTATTACTGATGTAGCACAAAAAGTGATGTGAAAATATATAAAATATGCTTTTTTTCTCCCCCAAAAAATAAAATAAATATTACTATATCTTAAATTAGCTACAGTATCATGACACCCACCACCGATTGTTTACTGTCGGGGAATGTGAGGATATGCCTACATGTGAGGACAGCCTTGAGTTCCGACGGCTCCGTGCACAGAGAGCGGTTTGGACAACATCACAGGTCTACGGTTGATGCTAACATGGCGGAAGCAGCCTTGGAAAGCGGGGGAACCTTCAAGGTGGTTGGACGCTTTGATCTCACCTGGTGAACAGAGAATAAAATATATAGCAATTTGGAAAAAACTGACATTTTCAGAAAAATCTTGCTTTGTTTTATAAATCCTGAATTTAAAAAACCAGGGAAAGACTGCCTGAAAGGGAAGATAAAATGACTCCAGTATCATTCCCTTACTGTTCTATATCCTAGGGGTGATTTTTGCAGAGCGAGAACCAGAAACTTGGGATCCTGGCAGCAACATTGAAAGCTCTGTCAGCTCAAGCATTCAGCCTGGTATTAGAAATGGAAATTATCCCAACCTGCTTAAAGTTTTAACTTCCAGGTTCCAACAGGAAGCTGAAGAGATTTAACGCTGGCATGGTTACAAGGTGCACACTCTAGAAGGCAGACACCACTGTGATAGAGTTGCTCAGTATAGAAAAAAAAAAGTTTAAAATTGGAATGACATTGCTGAAAATTAAAACATGATGGTGCCTAATGAGTCAGAATTTTTTTGTATCCCAAAATATCCAGACAGTACATCAGCTGTGGACATTAAGGGCCATTTAGAGTCAACTCCATTGGCCAAATATATTGATATTGGAGTAAATTATTAACTTATGAAATATGGTAGTGTTCTACCAAATACTACATCCAAGCACTTTACATTTTACATAAAACAATGCAATAACAATTGTGATTTGATATATTGCTGTAAAAAAAAATGCAGATGCAACGTTATTAAGCCACAAGTAGTTCACTGAGTCTTTAGTCAAGACTCCAGGATACTGATAGTGCAGCCATTGACTGTGATATACTGTAGGCTGATTATCAATGAGCGCTGGGAATTTAATGACAAGAAGATTATGGGTCTGAGTACACAGCCTTAAGGTACTCCGTAATACTTTGCAGCTATAGAAAAGAGAATTTGGCTGCTTAAATCTTGTCAAGTTAATTTGTTTTTAACCACAAATCCTCGCATGAGTAAAACAACGGTCAAAAATGTAAATAACAGATAAAGAAATTAATATTTTTAAAGTATTCTACAACCAAACTAGCCTTTCATAAAAGCATAAAAGTGCTATTTTTTTTACTTCTTTAAAACTCATTTTATAGATCTTAGCCACTACTTTGCTGGACAGGAAAAAATTGAAATCTAGATAAGTCATTTTTTTCTAAAAAAATATGTGCATTTGTTCTTGTATTGAGGAAGTAAGAGACATTTTGCCAATGGAACAAGATAATTTACATTTAAAATAAGAAAAC